CCCCGCTCTTGTTAACTAGGCCATTTTAAAGACCCCGCTCTTGTTAACTAGGCCATTTTAAAGACCCCGCTCTTGTTAAATAGGCCCTTTTAAAGACCCTGTTCTTGTTAACCAGGTCATTTTAAAGACCCTGTTCTTGTTAACCAGGTCATTTTAAAGACCCTGTTCTTGTTAACCAGGTCATTTTAAAGACTCCGCTCTTGTTAACCAGGTCATTTTAAAGACTCCGCTCTTGTTAACAGGCCATTTTAAAGACCCCACTCTTGTTAACCAGGCCATTTTAAAGACCCCACTCTTGTTAACAGGCCATTTTAAAGACCCCACTCTTGTTAACCAGGCCATTTTAAAGACCCCACTCTTGTTAACCAGGCCATTTTAAAGACCCCACTCTTGTTAAACAGGCCATTTTAAAGACCCTGTTCTTGTTAACTAGGACATTTTAAAGACCCCACTCTTGTTAACTAGGCCATTTTAAAGACCCTGCTCTTGTTAAACAGAGCATCATTTAATGTTTTACATATTTAAAGATTTGATAACACATGTTGTTTAAACTTTCTACTAGTTTATACTTCATGCTGCGTGAACAACATTTTTTCCTGACACTGTATTTAGGTGGAATATAACATTTTATTGTTACCCTTGTAAACCACTAACACCAAATCACGAATCCAAAAAGTAACCACCTTCACAAAACAAAACCGACAAGTATATAAAATGTTTATAAATATACACAACTTATTAAGTTTATTAAAGTTCACATATAGTTGAACATCAACTGCTTACCTACTTGGCTGAGCCCGGGAAAGTACTGGATATAGTAACTGGTGGAGATTTTCTCATCGTTTTTAGGCTACAATAATAAAATGTTTGGATGACGGGACAAGACTTTCTTAGTTTTTCTTGTGTTTTTAAGTCACGTATTTTGTTATACAGTGGTAAGTAAATCACATCTAACCATTTCACAAAGGAACTGCTTAACAAGAATAAATTAACCATGTGCGCAAAATATAATCTGTATTCTTAAACATCATTTACACAATGGTTATAATTAGGTATAATAAAATATCAGTTACATAACAAGGAAACAAGTGCAAAAAAAAAAAATCAAATTTCTAAAATGTATTATACTGGCCATAAAATTATTTACTGATGATGATGACAGAATAAATGGTTTATGATGTATATCTCATGATAAATATTTGTATAAAAACAACAGTTTCTGTATGAAAGTCTGTCTTTGGACATACCAGCTATAGTTAACTGATCAGGCCGGCTGGGATGCAACAAACACAGTAGTGTCAGATCAACACTATTTATGTAAGACATCTGTTATTACAACAGTTATTATGGTGTGAATCCCACTGTAAAGCTGGCAAAGCATGGTTATAATTGTCACTAGACATTAGTATTAGGCCTATATTTTTTAACATTGAATGTTATACGTAATATCTTGGGAATTTTAGAGCATTAGAAGAGTATACCAACCATGCTGTGTTCACTGTATTCATTACCGACGATCGGATCAGGTGGGATACAAAAAAGTACAATAGTGGTTCGAATAAAACTATTTATATAAGCTGTTTATTATAAAAATAATTGTTCAGGTGGGAACACATTTTTCAAGCTGGACAAGTGATTAAGATTAGGAACACTACAGCTCCTTGATTTTTCACACACACACACAAAAATCCTTTTTGGACGTTCTTCTCTAATTCTTGCCAGGTCTTACAAATTGGGTGTCAAAAAAAAACAACAACATTGATGTGGCTTTCAAACGTACATTTTACAACACCAAAATATATCAGTGACTAGTATAGAATGTCCTAATACTACTATAGTTTATCTGGATTTCTATATAAGCCACATTTCTACACGAGTTAAAGAAATTACGTCACTATTCAGAGTACCAAACCAAACAATTCTCTTTGATAAGTGACATATGATGGTAAGAATGCTCTTTGGTTATAAATATGTTCATCAGATATATATAAAGTCAGTTATCAAACAATTTCAAAAGTCAGATAGAGAGGGGAGGGGTTTCTCTGGTGCGTTTGACAAATTTATTGATATCTCAGTAAATCAAGAAGGTAGGTGGTTTGAATTTTAGATTCTTGCTTGTAATTATGTACAGTTTGTTGAAAAATTTGAAAGTGGAGAAATCAACGCTCAGGTGCATCACGTGACACAAAAACAATGGAGACTGAAATTTCTTAATATCTCTTTTTGAAATTACAAAGTTAAGACTTAGATAACACTAAACTAAACTATAGTTTCATGCTAAGTTCACTGACGTGCAATGATAATAAATTTGTAAGAGATCATGATATGCTCAAATTAACCCAGGCAGATGGAAAAAGTTAGTTAAAATTTATATGTACTTACACTGACTTTTGGTATTCCAAGCACTCGATGTATCTCAAGTGTCACCCAGCCCTTTGTTACTTCTGACAAGCTCACTGACCCAATTTTCTCTAAAGCTACCCATTTCTCAGCTGTTGTTACAAGAGTATCATCAAGATACCATAACTGGGTAAGCTGTGTTATTACATATCCTCGATAACCCCAAGCAAGCTAAGGAAAAACAGTAATAATTAGCATAAACAGTAAATAAAAGTAAGTTAAAAAAAATAGTTTCTATTGAGTAGCACATACACAAAGGTTATTATACACGTGGGTTGCTGAAAAACATAATGTCTAGCAAATAACAGAACTGAGGAAAAACAAGACAACCGTTTTACAAATACACCATTCATTCTCAACCATGGTTTTGGCAGTAAAGACATCGTCCGAACCTGATGACGCCTTTACTGCCGAGGCCATGGTCGTGAATAAATTATGTATTTATGAAACATACAACTGTTCTTGTTTTTCTTCAATTCTGTAATTAGAGAATGTCACCAAGTGCTGAAAGTTTCAAATATTAATTATATCTAACAAGTAACATTGCTTAACATGACCAAATTTTTCTGATGTTTAGAAAAAACAGTAAATAATTTCTTACGGTCATGGGATTTCCAAACAAAGGCAAGTGAACGTAAAGAACCGAGACTTTTCAGTTGGGCCACTACTTCAATTAGGTTACTTAAAAAGTTATCTGTGAGATCCAGTGTGCAGAGGACAGGGAAGTTGGTGGATGGAAGTGTGTGAAGCCTGTTCTGCCCGAGTCCCACATAGAGGAGCCCTGGTGGAGAATTCTGACACAACTTGGAAATATCTCTGAAAATGAAAAAAGTAATTTTACTAACTAGCACTTAATTTATACATGAAAGTTTGTCTACCACCTGTCAGATATAACTGCAAATTTTAGTAAAATTACTAACACTTAATTTATACATGAAAGTTTGTCTACCACCTGTCAGATATAACTGCAAATTTTAGTAAAATTACTAACACTTAATTTATACATGAAAGTTTGTCTACCACCTGTCAGATATAACTGCAAATTTTATCTAGTACAATTTATTAAATAAGTGAGAATGGTTATTTTAAAATTGTAGTGGACAAATTTCAAACTAAAACTTTCACAATTATGCAAAAATTCAAAACAGAGATTATTAATCATACTAATATTCAAGGAATCGTTTCTGCTGTCAAGGAAACGTGTTTTCCTCTTACGTTATCCTTTACATAGGCACGAAAAACAAAAAGTTATTTTGTTTCCTGTTTCTGGTTGAGCAAAGCAGGATAAATTTTAAAAGAGCCTCTCCTAACCCTAGGCTTGAATTAAGCTCCTTACACAGTCATAATTTCTTCTGAAAATATTTGGCATGCTTCAGCCAATAAGAGATTATGAATGTGTTTACATAACTGTTCTACAACTTGGTAAATGTCTAGCATGCAGCAGCTGCGAAGTGATGGATGGACTGGCACTCACTATCTCTCCCCGGTCTTACAAGGAAAGGTTTTAGTCAATTAGACCGAAATCAAATCAAAGACGGCTTACTATATTTATGTATGTTAATTTACAGTATTTAAAACTTACTCAATCTGATTTCCATATAATTCTAATATTTCTAAACATTTCGGAAGGTGAGATCCAAATACTTCAGTGATATTGTTCACACTCAAAATCAAGCATCGCAATCTTTTGAGTTTCAAAACAGACCGATCAACCTCAGTTATCTAAAGCAAAAGTCAATAAAATCAGAAACAAAAGATGAAGAAAAAATTAAAATACCAACACACGTTAAATATGAGCAAGTCTCAAGTCACGTAATCACTTTAAAAACAGTTCTAAACTCCAGTTTTTACAATTTGGATAAATATATACGCACAGGGTTGAGTACCTTATATTTACATCATTTTGAATATATAAATCAGCAAGTCATGTGACAATCAAAACCAGTATAAAGTGTTGGTGAAATGGGATGTATCAGAACTACATTTTAACACTGTTTGGCATTTCTTTAGGAAATATGATGGCATCAAAAACTGAACATCTTTGGAAAGGGTTTGTTTGTTCGTTCGTTGAATTTCCTGCAAAGCTACCCAAGGACTGTCTGTGCTAGCTGTTCCTAATTTTGAAATGACTGACTAGAGGAAAGGCAGTCAGTAAACAAAACCCACCATCAATTCTTAGGCTACTGTAATCTATCAGTGGAATTAGCCATTATATTATACCACCCATGGCTAAAAGGATGAGCATGTTTGACAATGTGATTCGATACCCACAACCCACAGATTTTGAATAAAGCACCCTAAACACCAGGCCATGCCAGGCCTTCAGAAAGCTTATATAAAATATTCTTCCAAAGTAAAATATTCATACATTCAGAATGCAAAGAAGTGTAGAGATCAAGGATTTAAAATTTCAAAGACTGAGGAAAACAAAGGAATATGGATCAACTTAGGGTACCAAGACCATCCAAAAAGAGACAACAACTACAAATTTCAACAATTGTGGTATCTTGTAACAGGTGAGAATCCACAAACACAAAGGTTAGTGGCAAAAGTGTCACAGGCAACACTATGCAACACAATCAAATCACTGTCTGGAAAAGCAACAGTAATCATATGTACACAAGTTGCTACCATCACATACCTCAAGCAGCTGGAGACTGAAACAGGTATTCACGTTGTTTCACATGAAGACATAAATATTGTGTCAACAGATGCATTGCCTATGAATTTCTGTGCAATAGGACTATTGAAATTGTCACTGAGAAGCCATCATCCTTGTACACTAGATGGATTATGGAAAGAAATAGGGAGTAGAGGCATGCTTTGGATATTTACAGCCTTAGAATGATGTCTTTTGCAGTGGAAACTATGCTGCAGGGTTGTTTTCAAATAGACATTGGCCTGATGTGCCAACATAGACTGTAACAATGTGATGAGGTTGTAAAGTCATTTTAATGTACTGTACTCAACCTCTGTATGCAAACACATGCACATATCTATCATAGATTAATTTCATTTTCTAAGAATCTGGACTGTACTTAATGCTTTATCAATAGAGAAATCACAAGTTATAAGGTTTAGTTATAACAAAGAGAGTGTGAAAATAAAAAACAGCAGGTAGCATGACTGTTATCACATATTGTTAAGCCTATAAGGTCCTTGTTTTAAGTTACTTCCAGCATTTAAAACTTCAACATTATGTTTTTAATGCTGTATAAAAATAGAATTTCAAATATGACTTTTGGTTGTCATCATGTGCACAAAATGCAGACAGTGGCAGGATGCCACCACTATGGAAACATGCTGATAGGAGTTGGCAACATTAAACTTGGACATCCACAATCCTGGTAAAAAAATGCCAATGCAAAGTAGCGAGAAATGACTCCATTGTGAACCTTGGAGGATCTAGGACAAGAAAGATCAATGATTGGATGCCAATCTCTTGACTTCTTGGGCACAACAAACAGATGGGAATAAAAACCCAAGAAGAACTGATACAACTCTCTCCACTGCCCCCTACACCAAAAAACTCTGATAGCCCTAGAACAAAGTTCCACAATCCAAGTATATGCAGGAGGTGGAAACACTACAGATTGGGCAGATAATTGTGGTGAAGATGTGAATTGAATGACTAATCCTTGTAAATTGGGTTCTAAGGTAATTGAACCAGCTATGTGGACTTTTGACAAAAAGAGAGAATTATTTAAAGCTCTGGATACAGCTGTGATAACCCATGGGGTAATGTAAGTGGATTTGCCACTGTTTGTATTGTGACAACAGAGGAGAGAAGAAATAATTAATCTTGTCAATTGAGTTCTAAAGTAACTGAACCAGCCTGTGGACTTTTGGCAAAAAATATAATTACTTAAAGTTATAGTTCAAACGTGGTAAGCAATAGTGTAACAAATTCTTTCTCTACATACATTTGACTTGTTTTGAATATATTATTTTGTGGATTGTGTGCTGTCTGTTTAATGTTGAAATTTATCACCAACAAGTCACAGACACCTACTATAAAGAATCCTAGCCCCTACACAAAAACTTAACAAACATTAAAGTGGATTTAAAGATTTTTCAGAAATAAATTATTGATAAGAGCAACAATTCCCATTTTACTGGTTTCACACTGTTCAGAATGGGTACAAGCAGATAGAATTTAAAGTACAGTAGAAAAGGTATGAGACTATAATGAGAAAGTTTTTCCAAATGGGAATGCCAGGAACAGAGAAAAATTGATTGTATATTTTAACTGAAATAAGTTCAAGACTTGCACACTTTTAATTCAGTTAGAAGAAATATATGTTACTTAGAAAACCACACAAAAAAAAACCCACAGGTTAACCACCTGTATGGCTGTACAATGGTGTGTCTCACAGAACGCATGCCTATTAAAACATAGGGAAGGAGTTTTCATTAATTCCAACATATCACTTAATAAGAAGCATGGGTATAAACTTAGATAATTTCATTTCATTGTACTCACCGTTTATGATGATCCTTTTTGTTTTAATTTCCTTAAATATAGCTTCATTTATTTTGCTAAAATATTATTTGGTAGTAGTAAACCCCACCTCTAGGTTCCCATATATAGTTTTTCTGTTATTTTCTCTACCCTATCTGAAAATAGGATCAGTCAATTCAACCGACCTCGAAACCACCAAAAAAATAAATAAATCAAAATAAACCTAAATTACCCTTTTTTCTTTCTAGAATAACTTCAAATTGTAACATGAAACTACATTCGTTTATCCTAAGTAGCTCTAAGTTCGTAACATTATACATCTATTTATAATTAAATTTTATTATTCTATTGCCCTTTGAACTGTGTCTAACTACTATCCACGCCATTACAAGTTGTAAATCACTTGGGGAACGTGCAGCTCATGTTATGCTATTGAATTACATTACCTACGAGCTGCTTGCATGAGTGCCTCGTGAACCATTTTTATTATATTATTATTATTACTTATTTTACCTATTCTAGTCCTAAATAACTTTTACAAAAGAATCTGTATTTTTAGTTACTCTT